ACTTCAACTCCCAGAATTCCTCCTCTCGTTCTTCATCTTGATGATGTGTGGACGTGTGGTGGGAGGGAGCTGGAACCGGTTCTAAACGGCACGGTAGATTTGTGGAAGCTCTTCTACAGAAGAGGTTAGAACTGGCAGGAACGCACCCCTGGGGCTGATGCAGTTGTAAGAGCAAGGACCCGTCATCTGTCACTTTTTTCAGTGCTGTTGTATCTTTGAGTGGTCACTAAATGAATAGTTGTAAGTCAAGGACTACCAGTAATGAAGTGTTTGGACCTCAGACCTACATGCAAGGGGAATGGTGCAAAGAGAGAGAAAATGTCTCCCTCCTATACTGTGCGGGTATCTTCAACCAAAGTCTACTCATTGCATGGGTCTCAGCTACTAAATGGTTAGGCTGACTTTCTTGCTCTTTATGTAATCACATAACTATGGAAAATTTTGAGTATAGCCAACAAACCACAGCACCTAATTTTTTATATTCTTGTAAGCCGCCTTGAGTCGCCATTGTTCTGATCGAGGCTTCCCCAAAAAGCAGGAGGCAGAGTCCTGGTCCCGACGAAGCTCCTTTTATCAAATGAATGTGAATTCCTCTGATTCACATTAAGCAAAGGCCTGGCAAACAGTCTTTCAAAGGAGTAATTATGACTACAGACTTTATCTATCTTGGAAAGCTGCCATGTAAATATTTTCCAAATGAGGTGCTGTGCAAGGAAAGACTGGGCACAGAGTCTCGGAGATTCACGGACAGATCTTCACACTCCTGAAACGAATCTAAAACGAATCTAACAGCTCTAGCTGTTCCTCTGCTCCACTGCTGTCTAGCTCCGTAGGCACCTGATCACTGCCAAACAGCCTCAGCCCCTTCTCTGCCTCCGAAGCACACCCCTCGTTTGAGCCTTCCCCAGCCTCCATGTTCCTCCCCAACTTTCTCACTGTCCGACTCTGCTGCCAGCTTCACTGGCGGGCCACAATAAGAACAGAGTTTACAGAGTGAACCACAGTGGCACCTCTCAGCTCCAAAAAAAAGAAGCATGAGTCTTACTTCATAGAAAGCCAAGTGCAAATATAGTAAAAGAATAGACAGGAGTTGTGGTGCATGTGAACTCGAATGCCATAGACAAAGGCACATACATATACATTCAGCCCACTAAACCAAAGTGCATATGCTCTCTCTGTAATGCTATACAAGCCACAAAAGTTAAGCTATTCTCCTAAACTCAGTGTAATTCCCCTTTTTCCAGTTAAATCTGACCCTTTTGATGTTTAGCTTCCTGATGTAGGATTGCCCTCTTGTTACAAAATAAAATAAAATAGGACAACCATCCTTATAATGGTGGCATTGTTCCTCTTTTTCAGGATTGGCAGTCATGCATTCCCAGAGTAATGATTACTTGGATATTGGTAACAACCCACGGGTGGGCACCAAACGCTATATGGCACCTGAGGTTTTGGATGAACAGATTCGTATGGACTGTTTTGAATCCTTCAAGCGGACAGACATCTGGGCTTATGGTCTGGTCCTGTGGGAGATAGCCCGAAGAACCATTGTGAACGGTAAGGAAAGCCAAATGGAAATGAGTTAAGATGCGGTAATCTAGGGCCTTACCTCATGGTTCAGGCAAATTACTATCCACTTATTTTTGCCGCAGGGTGTTTATATATCATTGTAAGTTGCAAGTAAGATAAGATTCTAAGTTCAAAAGGAGAGCTCTACAAAAATGGATGGAAATCTAGCAGAAATCAATCCTCTCTGATCCAGACACAATCAGATGTTTTGTTTTTTTCCTGCTAGTCACAGAACTATTTTAAATATCTGAAATAGCATCTTCATGTGCAACATTTAACGGCTTCTGGCAGTGTGCCCACCTCTTCAGAAAAGGGTAAAATAGAAAGCATGCTGGGAGGTTACAGAGAGCTGTCAGAGCAATTTGTCTTGTTTGCAAGAAGTGGCTTTGTGACTGGCCACACCCAGGGGTGAAATCCAGCAGGTTCTAACAGATTCTGGAGAACCAGTAGCAAAATGTTGAGTAGTTTGGAGAATCGGCAAATGCCACCTGTGACTGGCCCCAGAATGGGGAGGGAATGGGGATTCTGCAGTATCCCTCCCCTGCCACGCCCACCAAACCACACCCACAGAACCCGTAGTAAAAAAAAGTGAATTTCACCACTGGCCCCACCTACCAAGTCAGCCATTTTGTCAGGGAGCCTTATGCTAGCTACCTTCTTGGATCAGGCCAAATGTCCATTGAGTCCAGCCATTTTAGCAGTCTGTAATGCAGACGCTGGGTCAGTAACACTCTGGCATTGCTGGCCCTCATCAACTGGGATTCAAAGGTCTCTCTGGTATTCAGAGATTTATTCCCTCTGAACATGGAGACAGTTATTCCACTCCTTCATGCCAAAGTGTTGCCATAAAGAGAGGAAGTGTTTTGCTCAGTTTTCTGTATCCGTGACCCGTCAAAACCGCGGTCCACAAAAGCGCGATCGACGAAAGCGCGCATTTGACGTCATCACAGCGCGACGGAAAAAATTAAAAATTGAAATAAAAATAAAATTAAAGCAAGCCGATTCACATAAAGGTAAGGGTTAGGTTTAGGGTTAGGGTTAGGGTTAGGGTTAGGTTAAGGGTTAGGGTTAGGTTTAGGTTTAGAGCGTTAGGGTTACATTTAGCGTTAGGTTAAGGGTTAGCGTTAGGTTTAGCGTTAGGTTAAGGGTTAGGTTTAGGGTTAGATTTAGGGTTAGGTTTAGGGTTAGGTTTGGGGGGGTTAGGGTAAGGTTTTCACTTTATTTTTACATTTTTCGATCACAGCGCGATGTTTTCGTCGCGCTGTGATGACGTCAAATGCGCACTTTCGTCGACCGCGATTTTGTCCTCCGCGGTTTTGTGGTGGAACCTTCTGTATCAGTCGGCCATCTGATCAGCAGTGGCTGAAATCTCACAAGATGGCCCTCTCTCTTTGTTAGTTCATGCTGGATTCGGCTTCCTGCACAGTCTTGCAAACATTTGTAGAGTTCTCTTTGCAGTGCTGTGGACCAAGTTAGAACTTGTACATATACGAGTGGAATAACAACCAGCTTTTCACAGCTCTCCAGCAATTCTTATCTGCTCAGAGATCCTGCAAAGAACAGATCCTAATTGTGTGGCCTAGAAAATCTTAGGACAGTTCATACAAGGGGTTGAGCATAATTTGCTCAGCTGTGATTTGCTGAATAGATTAAAACTGGCAGGGTTCACAGAGGGCCGTTGGTTCTTTCAAAATGGCAGTGGGCCATCTCCATTCCTCCATCAGACCAAGCCAACAGAGAAAGGGATTGCCCGGAGCTGAAGTCTTTGGGGATCTGCAGGTTGCCCACCTGTTGAAGAAAAAACCTGTAACTTCTGGCACTGCCATTGAGTTCATTGCTTTATTGAAGGAACTGGAATCTCAGCTACTGTTAGAGAATGGAAGGAGCCAGCCCTGGCTGCCATCCCCCCACCCTCGCCTTTGGCTCCCTGTGTAGAAACAATCGCTAATCAGGCCTGTTAATGGGGATGTTTTTGACTGGCCTAGTTGGAAGTGTTTTCATTTTTCTTTTTCCACACGAATGATTAGCTGTAAATTATAAACACTGTAATCTAGTGTCAGCGCCCAGCTTGCAGATTAAAGGGACCATTAGACTCAATCAGCACTTTGTTTGTTCAACTCTGATTAGGAAACAAGCAGCATCACAGCTTAGCTTGGCAACTGGCCACTTTCAAGGGAACTTCGGCTATCCTCTGACCAACGCAGCAGTGAAGCTGCCTCTCTGCTCCTACGTTGGGCAGAGTCTTCCAGTGATGGATTCTCAGTTAATTTTTTTGCCCCCTCTTTGCATTTTAACATTCTTTCAGGGAAGAGGCTGGAAAAGGATCCCACCGCTAAAGTGTTCTTGTGTGCAGGCCTACTATACAAGTTTGCAGCGAGGATTGCTGAAAACCAAGCAAAGATCCAATTTATTTTTGTGTGTGTTTGGTGGTGTGTGTGTGTGTTATGTACTTGTGTTAAAGATTAAACCAATACAAACTATTGTATTTTTCGGAGTATAAGTCGCACTTTTCCCCCCCAAAAAAGAGGGAGAAAATCTGGCTGCATCTTATACACTGAATATAGCATTTTGGGCCTACCAAAACCCCACCCCCTTTGCCAAAATGAACGTGCAGAGGGTTTGAGAGGCTTGCAAAGTGCTCCTGGGGGATGGAGAGGGCAAAAAAGAGCAAAACATGGGCCATTTTTGCTTGTTTCCCCTCCCCCAGCCCCCAGGAGTATTCTACAAGCTTCCCAAAGCTCTGCATGCCCCCCTTTTTTTGCAAAAACTGGGCTGCTTTTGCAAAAAATGGCCAATTTTTTGCTCATTTCCCCACCCCCCAGGAGCACTCTACAAGCCTCCCAAAGCTCTGCATTCCCCCCCCCCCTTTTGTGCAAAAAACGAGGCATGCAAAGAGTTTGGGAGCCCTGCAGAGTGCAACTTTTTTTTAAAAAAAAATTACCTCTTCAAAATCATGGTGTGTCTTATACTCCGGTACGTCTTATAGTCTGAAAAAATATGGTAATATAAAGTAGAGAAAGAAAAGAAAAGAAGAACTCAAAAGGAAAAGCTAAAAGTGCAAGAAAAAGAAAAAGAAAGAAAAATAGAAAAGAGAGGGAAAGGTACAAAGGATACCTCCTCTTTATTAAGCAGGTAGAAGAACAATTAAAATTTACCTCTTACTGTTACAACGTATGATTGAAAATTGTAAATCATAAATTCAATTTTTGTTTTAGTTTTATGCAAAAATCCATACAGCATTTCCAGTCAGCAATAAACAGTTTTTGTTTTCTCTGCTCAAAGAAGTCAATTTAGCCATCCCAGCAGGGTCTATCATCTTTACCAACCATTCTTCTAGCCTTCTATCTCACTGCAGTAAGATCCAAGGAATTTTTGGATTTCCAGGTTTCTGCTGGAAGCACTAGTGCAGAAACTGCCCTAGTGTGAAAAAGTAAGACAGTGTATCTATAAACCTGTGCATTTTTCAAGGATCAGAAGTATTCAGTTGATAGACTTTGACCCATAGAATATGGATTTGGAGAATTATGATGCTCACTAGTAAAGTTTCTACGTTGTTCAAAAGGGCCCCAGCTCAACCCTCTAAATGGGGGGGGGGTCCCTTTCTGAAACTTTCTGAGGGACGCGGTGGCTCAGTGGCTAAGACACTGAGCTTGTCGGCCAGAAAGGTCGCAGTTTGGCGGTTCGAATCCCTAGCACCACATAACAGAGTGAGCTCCTGTTACTTGTCCCAGCATATGCCAACCTAGCAGTTCGAAAGCATGTAAAATGCAAGTAGAAAAATAGGAACCACCTTTGGTGGGAAGGTAACAGTGTTCCGTGTGCCTTAGACATTTTATCATGCCTGCCACATGACCACGGAGACATCTTTGGACAGTGCTGGCTCTTTGGCTTTGAAACAAAGACGAACACCACCCCCTAGAGTCGGGAACAATTAGCACATATGTGATGGGAACCTTTACCTTTTACCTTTCTGAAACTATGGGCTGGAATAAGCAATTCTGAGCTAAAGGCCAGCCCTCTTGATTTTAAGAGCAGCTTAAGTGAGGATATACATGTGAATCAAGAGCCAGCCCAGCACTGGGGTTAGAATGCTAAAATAGAAACTAAGGTAGTCCTCATTTAACAACTGGTCAAAATTGCAATGGCCTCAGAAGGAGTGCTTTACAACTTATAATAATATAAGAGAACATGATGCTTTGTAACATAAAAAATACACAGATTCATCTCAATCTCACATACACCTCCATTCTTTCCTCCGTTCCCCAATGCATGTTGAAACAGCCATGTCTTTAAATGCTTCCTAAATATGCCACATGGGGGTGCAGTTCTCCTATCAGGGAGGCAAAAGCTATAACATAGAAGGTATCTCCTACCAGAAATGGTTAAAAAGTAGGAAGTTGCTATGTACAGATGCTGACTGCTGATTCATGTTTGTGATTGGATTGATTTGATCGAATGAATGAATGATTGCCTTTTATCCCACCTTTGTTATCTTTTATAAATAATTCAAGGCTGCAAACATACCTAATATTCCTTCCTCCACCTATTTTCCCCACAACCACCTGTGAGGTGAGTTAGGCTGAGAGAGAATGACTGGCTCAAAGTCACCCAGCCAGCTTTCATACCTAAGGAGGGACTAGAAGTCACAACTTTCTGATTTCTGGACTAGTGCTTTTACCTCAAACTATGCATTCATTTTCAGATCAAAGGCTAAAGTTCTTGACTGAAGGGGAGGCAGAATTTTAATTTTAATGTAAATAGTTTAATTTAGAAGTTGCCCATCTCCCAAATGACTGAGCCGCTGACAACTAAAGTTTGCGGCGCCTTCCTCTGGTTTTTCCAACCCATTCTTGGAGATGCTGGAAACTAAGCGTGGGATTTTTCTCTTTGCAAAAGAAGGAAGGAAGGAAGGAAGGAAGGAAGGAAGGAAGGAAGGAAGGAAGGAGAGAAAGAAGGAAGGAAGGAAGGAAGGGTTTGGTAGGGGCTTTTTCAACATATTAAAGGCATAAGTTTTCATGAGCTGCATTAGATGCATAGAATGGTTCTCCTTTTCTGCAAAAGTTTTCCTTTTTCCTTCTTTCAAGAGAGGCGCCCTCGGGACTAATAAATAATTTTATTCACCCAGGGCAGAAGGGAAAAAATGAGGAGATGTTTAACAGAGCAATACCAATAGCCCACTTTGTCCAAGCTTATTGGAAGGTGCTCTCAACGTGTAACTCTGGATTACTACCCTACAAACCCTTACTTCTGTATGGTCCCTTGCTGTTTGGCTTCTTTTAAGTTCTTCCCAAATCACTAAGTCACTGGTCTGATTAACAGACTGTGCTAAACCCAAATGGGTTTCTTATTTTTGGCTTAGCCTGATTAAACAAACAGAAGCTCAGCTTGGTGCCTGAAGCTAACCATGTTGATGTCTGCCCTGTTTCAATCTGGGGGTTTCTCCACCCACCCCCGTATCCAGAGATTATACTGTTGAAGTTTGTGAGCGTGTTAATTTCTTTCTTCTAAATCTCATTTCGTGTCTGATCCTTGACTACAGAAACAAGAGGCTTCAAAGAAAATAGTGATTACATTACAAACAGCCAAAATATTGTACAATCCAATTGAGGCATGTATTAACTGAGCTAATTCTGTCTCCCTTTCTGAATAAATACCTGTAGTACTAGTTAATAACTCAATTACATTCACAATAAACGATCTTTAGCTGGCTGCCTTTTATGTGCCCTAAGATACATAGCCACTCTCTGTCTTTGGAAGATCGTGTACCACCTGCATATGAAAATGTGGCAGTATTGCTTGACCAGGCATCATGCCTGTCTTCTAGCTAGAGCAAAGCACTGAAATGTGCTTTTATTGGGAATCAGTACCCACATTCAAAATCAGGTTGTCAGATGGATTAGGGTCAAGTTACATTGAACTGTTTAGTATAGAAAGGTTTAACAAAACTGATGGAGGTCCTAGGTAAATAGAGTTCTTGACCAGCAGGTGGCACCAAAAGCATTAGTGCTGACAGCTGGTAGGAACCATTGAGCATTGTTAAGGAAAACATGTCCAATGAACCTATGGTAGTTTATTTTTTTATTTATTTGTCAAACATGTATAAGATAACAAGTATAGGTAAAGGTAAAGGTTCTCCTTGCACATATGTGCTAGTAGTTGCTGAGTCTAGGGGGCGGTGCTCATGTCTGTTTCAAAGCCAAAGAGCCAATGCTTTCCGAAGGTGTCTTTGTGGTCATGTGGACGGCATGACTAAATGCCAAAGATGCACAGAACACTGTTACCTTCCTTCCAAAGGTGGTTCCTATTTTTCTACTTGCATTTTTACATGCTTTTGAACCGCTAGGTTGGCAGAAGTTGGGACAAGTAAGGGGAGCTCACTCCGTTACACGGTGCTAGGGATTCAAACCGCTGAACTGCCAACTTTTCTGATCAACGAGCTCAGTGTCTTAGCCAGTGAGCCATGTGTCCCTAAAGTATAGGTATGAACATAAAAATGAAGAAAGGAAGTAAAAACAGATAAATGGGGACAGTAAGACAGGGGTGGTAGGCACGCTGGTGCGCTTATGCACACTCCCTTTTTTCATTTTTGGGGTGGGGTGGCTTTTAATGTATCCTTCCCTCAAAATTCACACACTTGTTTCACACACTTTTTGTCTTGCAGGAAACAGCCAAAACTCTTTTTTCTGGGCAAGGTCGTTTGAGTGTAGCTTTTTTATCCACTTGTCATTGTTTCACCCTTGGATTTATTTTTATTATCATCTATTTTTACAGCCTATGATTTGAAAGACATGCTAATGTGGATAGTGAAGTTATAATAATAACAGTATAACAATGACACATAGACTTATATACCATTTCACAGTGCTTTAGAGCCCCTTCTAAGCAGTTTACAGAGTCAGCCTATTGCCCCCAACAATCTGGGTCCTGATTTTACCCACCTCGGAAGGATGGAAAGCTGAGTCAACCTTGAACTGTTCAGAATCGAACACCTGCAGAACTGCATTCTAACCACTGCACCACCATGGCTCTGTGTAATATTTCCATCAAAATGAAAGTTAATAAAAACTGACAGGTTTTTTTTTCCAGTTAATGCATTGGTAGTTCCTTCTACCTGTAACGATGCCAGGATTTTGTAACCATTAGTCTCAAATATCTTTAAGGGGTTATGGTATAATTTAATTCAACAGATGCCCCATAATTTATAAAGATATTCTTTCTAGATGCTTACTAAATCATTTGTTATTAATCTTGGCTAAAATATGTCCCAACAGCAGAAACTATATAATTTTGATCCTAAGTCAAAAGTTGAACTACATTGGTTTAATATCACGAACATGTTTCAAGAACATGAATCTTGTGTGTTTCAAGTCGTAATGAGTAGAGCATCCTATGAATGTAATTTAGAAATGAATAAAATTGCAAATTGGGAGTAAGATTGCAGCAGTACTTGTCTGTGTTTGTTTGCACAGAAACAAGAACAAGATAGATGAGTCATTAGAACTGCAATATTTATGTTTGCCAAATTCAAAGTAGCTTTCACAGTGAGAAATATTGATTCTAGCATGAGGTCTGCAAGACCCTTGCCGAGCAAGTAGCTCCCAAAATATATACAGATAGTCCTTGACTCATAACAGTGTGTTTAATGACCGTTCAAGTTACAACGGCACTGAAAAAAATGACTGCAGGCTACTTCTACTGACTGCCGGCTGCCTGCAATTTGGCAGTTCAAATCTCACCAGGCTCAAGGTTGACTCAGCCTTCTGTCCTTCCGAGGTGGGTGAAATGAGGACCCAGATTGTTGGGGAAAATATGCTGACTCTGTAAACCACTTGGAGATGGCTCTATAGCACTGTGAAACGGTATATACCATATTTTTCGGACTATAAGATGCACCAAGATTTTGAAGAGGTAAATTTAAAAAAGTTTTTGCCCTCCCCAGCACCCAGGAACACTCTGCAGGCCTCCCAAAACCTCTGCATGCCCGTTTTTGAAGCCTGCAAAGTGCTCCTGGGGGCTGGGGAGGGCAAAAAACAAGCAAAAAATGACCCGTTTTCACAAAAAGGGACCCATTTTTTGCAGAACAATTGGAGGGCAGAAGGTGTGGTAGACCTGTTGAGTGCTCCTGGGGCTAGGGAGGGCAAAAATTGAGCACAAAACGACCCGTTTTTTTGTGGAAAATGGGCCCATTTTTTGCTCATTTTTGCCCTCTCCAGCCCCCAGGAGCACTTTGCAGGCCTCCCAAACCCTCTGCGTATCTGTTTTTGTGAAAAACTGAATGCACAGGGCCAGGTTTGGGGAGGCCAAAAATGTTGTATTCAGTGTATAAGACGCACCCAGATTTTCACCCTCTTTTTGTGGGGGGAAGGTGCATCTTATACTCTGAAAAATACAGAAGTGGAAGCTGCTTTATTGCATTTAATGGAAGACATGTGAGCATTTGCTCATGAGGCGTGCATGGGCATGTGTGTTGTCACTAACAAAAGTAGTCTCTCCACTTGCTATTCCTCTGCTATGGAGGCTGTTTAAAATACTTTTACCTTGGTCTTTCCTGTATTTTTCCACTCAGCTTTCTCAGGGCTCTTCTCATGCTGTTTTCATACAAAGTACCTTATGCCTGGGGAAAACCAGTCATGTCTGAAATGTAATACTTGCTAATTTTGTAAGTTCTTTATCATTTTGTAAGGGATGCTTAGTGTCCACTTGCCGAATTCTGACAGCTCTGAGATGATAGGAAATTGAGCTCACTGTGGTTTCGGATTGTCCTATAATGCACAAACCTGTTGTGGCTCACCAGCGGAGCTGGCCGCAGATTCAGAGAGTGTGGAGGTTAGGGAGGAACATGGGCAGTCCTGGAGTCTAGGAAAGGCTCTGATGAGGGATCTGTGTCCGAGGCAGAGGGGGGCCAAGGGCTGTCTGACAGTTATCAGCTGCCTTCAGAGTCAGACATCAGTGAGGCAGATGAACAGCTGGAGCCTGTTCCCAGTGTGTGCATGCGCAGAGTTGCCAGACCAAGGGAACAGCTAAAGAACAGGGGTCAACTTGGGAGTAAGGCCACAGGTGGATGATGAATGGCCCCTCCCAGAAGAAATAAAAGAGGAGCGAAAGGGGAGTGGAGTTTGCAGGAGACAATTAGTTCGCTTAATTGGTTCGTGACTCTTGAAGACTCCTTGCCAGGTTTTGCAGATATCAGCCTGGCAGCTCTCCAAGCCAGATAAGGTCTGTGACTGTAAATCCTCCCTTGAAAGACTTTGCTGGATATGAATGAGCAGAATTCACAGTAAATTAAAACAAGGACAAGACTTTGGCAGCAACCAAGACTTCCAAGATAAGAAATACATACGAGAGCTTCTCCAGCCTTAGTATATTAGTTGAATCCTGCAAACAGCCTCCTCCCAAAGTCTCTCTTTATATACTCTCTTGGGAGGGACCTAATCACAACCACCTGGGTCCAATTATCTCCTTTCTCTCCTTAATTGCTGCCGGCATTTATCCGCCCGCCTCTGCCAGGCGTCCGGGACCAATTCCCTCTGAACCTCATCACTGCTCAAAGGCCTGACGTCTTCACTACTGCTCCAGGGCCTGACATCATGACCAAGCTCCCTTTGGCTTTCACCACTGCTCCATGCCTCAGGCGCCTCCTGGTGACCAACCAGCCTCTCTGGTCCCTGCTCAGAGTCTGAACCCTGTCCAGGGTCCTCCACATCTTCCAGAGTCGACACATAGGGTGTCTCGCTGTCGGAGTCTGTTTGCAGCTCCAACAGCTCCTGCTGGGCCACTACATACATACATACATACATACATACATACATACATACATACATACATACATACATACATATTATATTCTTTTGTCCTTATTTGACTATGTTGGACATAACAGATGGTACAGGAAGACGATGTTCACACCCAATAATCTCTGCATGCTTGCCATCTCAAGACTTCACCTTCCTGTTCCCTCCATATTTTTATCCTGCAGGGATTATTGAAGATTATAAACCTCCTTTCTTTGACTTGGTTCCAGCCGACCCCAGCTTTGAAGACATGAAAAAAGTGGTTTGCATTGACCAGCAGACACCCACCATTCCAAATCGGATGTTCTCTGACCCGGTGAGTCAGTTAGAAAGATAACTTTTAGCATTTTATTTTGTTATTTAACAGGAAGGGGTGTTTCCTGTTGTTTCAAAAAGGACGCTTTCTGAGCTAGGATTGATGTGTGGCCATCAACTCCCAGAGTAGAGGCAGAAGCAAAGAAAGCATCTTATACCACGCCAGCCTAGGAATCAAGCTTCCCAGCTAGATCTATTGAACAATATGGGGAGACAGAGGCTCCTTCCATGCATGAGGAAAGCTATGCCCTATCCCAATGATGCCATGTATCAAGAGGTGGGCTTCAAAAATGTTAACAACGGGTTCTCTGCCTGGTTGCTGGGTGGGCATGGCCATGCTGGGCGTGGCCTTGTTGGCCTCCTGCACCACAGTGGGAAGGGGCATTTTCGCCCTCCCCGGGCTCCAGAGGCTTTCCTCACGCCTCCAGGAGGGCAAAAACAGCCTCCCGCAGGCTCTGGTGGCTCTCTGGAAGCTGGAAACTCCTGTTTCTGGCCTTCTAGAACTTCCGGGAGGCCCATTTTTCACCCTCCCAAGCCTCCACGTGGGCCGTGTATGGGGACTCCTGGGAGAAGAGGGGCAGGAGGGGAAGGGCCAGCTGGGGTGGAATTTGTGGGTTCTCTGAACTGGGAAGATTCTTAGCTAGAGCCTCTCCCAAATCTGTGCAAACCCTCAATAGCCCACCTCTGCATGTATCTTCTAACTGTCTTGGAAATATGAGATGATTTACCCCACCAGCTAATTCACTCCCCTTCTTCTCTGAAAAAGCTGCCCTGATGATCATGTTTAGCACTTCCTCCAAAGCAGCGTTCCTTAGCCCAAAGTCACTGTAATATGCGTAGACTTCAACTCCCAGAATTCCTCAGTCAACATGCTAACTGGGGAATTCTGGGAGTTGGAAGTCCACCCATTTTAAAATTGTCAAGGTTGAGAAACTCTGCTCTACAGCTGCATTTCCCTACAAGAATGCTCACTTTTGCTACACAAGGGCTGCTGTGCCTTAGCGTTCTTCCCTTGGGAGAATTCTGGGCTGCCCCATCACATTATGGCCCTGTTTGGGATACTTAACTATTTAATTTATTTATTAATCATATTTGTGTGGCAACCCAGCTCACAAAAAGTGACTTTTGGCAGTCTACAACACAGGTGTCAAACTCGCAATGTCACATTGTCGTCAAACTCGCAATGTCACATTGTCGTCATGTGACATATCACGACTTTTTCCCCTTTCGCTAAACCAGGAGTGGGTGTGGCCAGCGTGTAATGCATCCAGCCTGCGGGTAGCAAATTTGATATCCCAACAACCAACAAAATAAGAACTATATTAAAAAAAACAATCATTATAAAAGAATCAAAAATCATTATTAAAGCAAAACAAAAAACACTATAAAAATTAAAAAGAGACTGCTTTGTAAGGTTGTTTCAAGAATTATGAGGTGGGCTTGAGAGGCAAGCTATCTGCATGGCAACATCTGAAGAAATAATATTTCTAACAGTCCAGATTGCCACTTAAAGATTTATCATATAGCTTTGTGTCTTCTAGCTAGTCAGCTATGTGTCTTGTCCTTTCCAATTCCCTATCCTTTTTCTACATTTTCTATCTTTCCCAATTTTCTTTGTTACAAAAACCAGTATTCTACAACTGTAGAACATCTGTCTAAGATGGAGCTGAATGAATGAAGCAAGGAATAGGGAAGAAAATCCGTGATTTACTCTTTGTTTCCAGTGGGCCAGGCCAATCTCTGACTTGATACCCGACAAATCAGCTGCAGGACCTACTCGACTTTTATAAGACAGAGAAACGCAGATTGTGTTGTAAATTATGACTTCGGATCCATCGGAGAAAATCTTGGCACTAGTTCAGGGAAAGAAAGAAAAAAAGAATGCAAAGATAAGACAAGCAGGAAGAATCGTGGGCAGCGGCTGCTGGAATCCCAGAAGCTAGAGGGAGGATGACCAGAGCCTTGGGTGGTCAGGAGATAAAATGCCAGCACAGAGCTATTCGCCCTCTGTAGAGTAAACCATGCGGGCAAACAAGTGGGTGATAAGGGATTGTTTGTTGCTTTGTAGACCACCAAATTGAAGATTCCTCCATGTAAGCAAGGGTGTGCCCCAATTAGCAATTGAATTTGAACAGAGCCATAACCTTAATTAAGCAAGGAATGAATGAAGGGACAGCATCATTCAGCCTGAACACCATTTCATTCCTTGAAGAGCCCCGTCCGCTACTTCATCCCATGAAGAAAGCTTTTATTTCTCATTCTCATATTCCATGACATTTTTTTTCCTTCACGGAGATCTGAATCCATGATGGCGAACCTATGGCACAAGTGGCGGGCACACAAGCCGTTGCCCAGCCCAGCTCCACAGTGCATGTGCGCACACACGCATGCCTCCTGCCAACCAGCTGGCCTTTGGGTCTTTGCCACATATGTGCAGGGGGTGGTCACATTGCATTTTGGGGGTTCACATGCACATGCCCCCCTGCTCCCCGTTTTGGGCTTGGAAAGCCTCCTGCACCAACCCTGGAAACCAAAATGGGGTGCAGGGGCACCATGCGACCGCTCCCCTCATGCTCTGTTTTGAGTCTGGAAAGCCCCATGCACCAACCTGGAAGCTGAAAATGGGTGAGGGGGGTGGGGCGCATGAATGGGCAGGGCGCTCGCATTGCATTTTGGGATTGCACACATGCACTTTGGGCACTTGGCACCAAAAAAGGTCTCCCTCACTGATCTAAATGGTAAATATGTCCCCTGAACTGAATTAGTGCTGAGCTAGCAAATAGCTCAAGATCACATACAATACAATACAATAGCAGAGTTGGAAGGGACCTTGGAGGTCTTCTAGTCCAACCTCCTGCCTAGACAGGAAACCCTATACTGTTCCAGACAAATGGCTATCCAATGTCTTCTTAAAGACTTCCAGTGTTGTGGCATTCGCAACTTCTGGAGGCAAGCTGTTCCACTGATTAATTGTTCTAACTGTCAGGAAATTTCTCCTCAGTTCTAAGTTGCTTGTCTCCTTGATTAGTTTCCACCCATTGCTTCTTGTTCTTGTTGCCTTGGAAAATAGTTTGACTCCCTCTTCTTTGACCCCTGAGATATTGGAACACTGCTATCATGTCTCCCCTAGTCCTTCTTTCTACTAAACTAGACATATCCAGTTCCTACAACCTTTCTTCATGTTTTAGTTCTCCAGTCCCCTAATCATCTTTGTTGCTCTTCTCTGCAGTCTTTCTAGAGTCTCCGCATCTTTTCTACA